GAGAAACAAGCGCGACCTGAGCGTCCTCAAACGGAAATAAATATAATTCTCAGTCTGATAAAATTTTACTACATTCTGTCGGTAATCCCTAAATACAGTCTTTTTATCACTATATGTTAAAATAGTAATTGCGAAAATTAAGTTTATCTCCAACAGGTATCATTAATTTATTTCCAACAGATATTTACTTATATCAAAATATTTGTGTACTTTGTATTAAAATAGTTTTGTAAAAAAAAAAGTGATAAAATTTCAACTCTTGTGAACACTCTTGTGAAAGTCGTTTTTTTTACTAAGATTTTTTTTACAAAGCTGAATTTTTTCAACAAGGTGATTGTATGGATGGAATTATATGAACATGTTTATATTATTACCATTAAAGTTTGAAAGGATTTAAATGTTTTAACTATCATATCATTTGTAAATTTTTAATATGTAAAAAAGAAGATAATAATAAACAAAGAAAATAAAAAATAAATTTACAAAAATTAAATTAGATTAAGTTGATCTTTTTGATAAACGATTATCCAGTTCAAATTATATGTATATGTATTTCTGATTTGATTGATGATATTATGGGTGCATTCCATTTTCATATTTCGAGGGAATTTTTTTCAACTTGTGTGAAGTATGAGAACCATAATGAAACGCTTAGAAATATGTATAAAATTATAAACATGTGCAAAAAAAAGTTAAATATAGTATACATTTCTTATAGAAATAATTTAATATTAATAATTTAATACTCTCTCTAATAATTTAATACTCTCTCTAATAATTTAATACTAATAATAGTAATAATAATTTAGCACTGATCATAATTAATCGCTTATTTTTAATATTAAAAGTACTGTTACTTATTAACAATACTTTTAATACTGAAAATAAATGATTAATTGGTCATCAGTATTAGTATTAAATTTCTGTAATTATTATATAGGATGTTAAAAAGAATCAACATTAAAAAATCATTTAACAGTACACACTATACTAAGTAAAAAAAACCTTATAATGAATATATTATATGTATATATAGAGATCGAAAACTCAACTATTTCTAAAATATAAATAATTTTGTATATTAATATTAAAAAACTGAATATTACCATATATAAATGCTGAATGTTTCTTTTATCACTCAGCATTTAAAGTGTATTAAAATTGTTGAAATTTTATTTTTAAATTATATATATTGATAGAATCCGAGTAACGGGATTGGTAATTAAAAATGGAAATATTTATCTTCTTCGTATACTTTAGAAGGAAATAGTATCATGCTAGATTCGCGAAGTTAGCACACCATATTTTCAACTTTGGTTTTTCATAATTATAGTATAAAATATATGGAACTCTTTCTTAGTTTTATAAGAAATTGTATAAGAACTACAAAAAATGCTACTTATAAAACTGTAATTATTTTTTAAATATGAATTTATATTATAGAATGTCGCATGCTGACTTCACTGATCCCTGCACTTTTGGATATCCATGATGTTAGTGACATTCTATTAATATATCTAATGAAAGCAATAATGACAGCATGCATGTTTCACTAGCATTTACCGTATACATAATTCTATAGTTCCTTATACAAAAATAAAAAAGAGTTTTGCTATGTTTTATACTAAAAAACCAAAATTGAAAAAATTGCATCCATCCCTCTGTTTAAAAATAATTATATATAAGAGTATAAATCTCTGGTAATACTTATATACTAATGAGAAATATCGCTGGAATTATGATAAATTATTATCACTTTTTCTTCAAGTATCGTCTACTGTCTTTCCCAGTAAACAAGAATGGATTAAAATGGGTTAAAATTTTTTTCTATCCGAATGCGGATATTTTACATAGCGAATACTTTTTTTTCATTTAACTGGATTCAATTGGATTCAGTTAGATTCAATTGAATGCAATTGGATTGAAAAACTGCATTTCCTATTCTAAATTTTGAATTGAACAGTATTCACAATGCACAGAAAAAGCTAATATATTATTTTTAAATTGAAAGACATAGAGATATGTTCCATACAATTCCTATAAATAAATAAAAATGCATTCAGGATTGAAAAGCATTCATTTTAATACTCGTGAATCAATATTTCTGAAAATCTGAATCCATTTCAATTTATTTCAATCCATTCTCGTTTGCTGGGTTTATATATATATAAAATACAATAGAATATATAAACCATTTAGCATTTATTATATGATAGATAGTATATGTATACACCTCATAATGAGTAAAAAAACCTTAGTGAATATAGGTTGAAAGCTCAACCGTTTGAGATATAAATAACTAAGAATCGATTTTTCCTCGTTAGTAGAAGGGTCACAAGGGCAATTATCATTTATATATACATATTATAGCTCAATTTTTTCGATTTTCGACTATTTATTATTTTGATAATTAAATCATCAAATTAAAATTCTCTCAAAATTTTATTTATGAAAAAAAGCTCTAATTAATTTATGTTTGTTATAAATTCATAAAAGAAAGATCAAAAAACGTCTTTTATTTAATGTAAAATAACACGCGTATATGTATATTTATAACTTATTATTACAGATATTTATTATTTAACTTTGAAAAACGAGTATTATGAAACAGTTATATCTCAAAAGAATTAAAGTTAATGAAAAACTTATTTTGGCGTGCTACGGCACGACACATCTTAATTATTTATTATATCACGCATTACTTGGAAATGCTTATAGTATATATTTGTTTAATGGAAATAATCAAGAATCATGGCTATGCAGACGTGATACGTTTCTTCCAAAGAATCTAGTTGAAGTATATTAGTGTACATTACGCGCAACAAGAATTGCCATTTTGTCGGCGAGGCACGAGGCGTAGCGACACGCCTCTCGCCTGCAAACTTCGAGCGAGGAAAGCGCTTCGATCCGATTGGTTTATCTTCTCCCTCCCCATCTTCTTCACCTGTAAAGTTGGCACGGTCCCCGATTGAGAAAGATTGGGTTAGATCTTGCTAACTAGGAAAAGATCGATCCCGTACTCTCTCTCTCTCTCTCTCTCTCTCGATGAACAGTACAATTTTGCTAATGGTACAAAAACGCGCGCGGTCAGCACATTCGAGATTTACAGTCGCGTTCACGTGGCTGAGCGAGACAAAGATAAAAATGACAGATATATCTACAATTTTAGATATTGGAACCACGCAATAATGATTAATAATAATACGTTTATTCACGAGCAACAAAGTTTTTTTTTTACACGTATAGCTCTGCTGTCGGAAATTAATCTTTGTTCAATTCGAATCTTTGCGAGTTGATCTATAGTTATAATTGTTAACATAATTTCAAATGATAATGTCGCATTTTTATTCTGATATTATACATATATTATACATATATTGGCTGCATTCAATAAAAAAATAGCTTTGCAATTGTAATTGTTGTAAGATTCTTTAATATTATTGATGATTTATACTCTTAGGTCCAGCGAGAGAGGAACTAAGAACCAGATCAATTTATCAAAGAATTTTACAACGGTTGCAATGCTGCTTCTTTTTACTGAACGCAGCTAATACTTATTTACGCAATGATACGTAACGATATAAAAATTATATCGTCGTTTCAAGAAGTTATAAATAAGCATGGAGATTTTTACTGACACTTTCTCTTCCAGTAAAACTAAATCATTAAGAAATAAAACAGGTATGATATATTTATTTATATTTGAAGATTATTTCTTGACTTTATATTTCACTTTATTTTTCTTCGCATTTAGATATCTCATACGTTCGTTTGAGAACATTGAGTAAAGATATATTTACTCCAGAATTCCCAAAGAAAGCTCCAGACTTCGTGTCGGCCAGATTATCAAACATTTCGCTGTTCGAGAGGATTAGACTCGATAAAATTACACTGGTTTCAATCCTTGGAACGAAACGCCGCGCCGCGCCACGAATCGATCCACGAGAAAGACAGAGTTCTCTCTCTCCCTCCCTCTCTCTCTCTCTCTCTCTCTCTCTCCTCGTTCGGCTCATTCGGCTCGTTCTTCTCATTCTCCTGGCTGGCTAATGTACCCGGTGGCGTTCGAGAGTCCTGCAGGGGCTGCAGGGCGTCCAGGATAGGCAGACGACTGGGTGCGGTGGTGACCGGGTACGGGGGTGACGGGACACGGGTAGCGGTGGGCGAGGACAGCCACCGGTACTCGATCGGATTGGTCGAGACTCGGCTGTTCCTGTTTGCTCGTGGGAGGTGACTTCAAATGGTATTCGCGCAAAAGCTCCGCCTCTCGGAATCCGTTCGGAACGGATGGAGGAGGCTCTTTTCGCGTCCACGCCGTCGGCCGTCCATCCGGAACCGTCGAGGTGGGAGAGCTATCGTACCATTGGACGGAGGTGGTTGCTGGCGAGCGCGAACGAGACCGGTCGAGAAGGTGAGACACAGCGGGCTCCAATCCGGGGCATGGTGGAGCCATGGGCTCGTAGGTAGGGGAAGCCCGTTGCGGGGGTGTGGGTATGGATCGGCCGCAGTATCCGCGGAGACGCGATCGCAGGTATTCGGTGTGTTTGGGCGTACTCGGGGATCCTCGTCCGTCGCCGTCCTCGGCGCGAAGCGAATACGGAGTTCGAGTAAAACGAGTTACCGAGTGTAACCGAGGGCTCGGTCTGCTCTGGATCAGCGAGCTCGCCTGGCACCGCCGGCGCCCGATAACGGCAGTGTTGGTTGGAAATCCTCGGGATTGTGATACACCCGTGACACAGCGTGTGGGGTACATCAGGGTCGGACCTCGCTCGCCTCGGCCGGCCGCGGGTGTCTCCGTGGTTGGGTCCGATGGAAATTTCCGTCTTCGCTCGTGACCAAGAGCAGCCTACCCCGTGCTCCTGCCGATTCGCGAGAATACGGAGGATGCTGATGGCGCGCGAGTATCGGCGAACCTCGTGCAAAGTGTCGAGTGTTCACACGTAAGAACGTTTGTTTTCAAGAGGAAAGAGAGTGAAACAGAGAGAGAGAGAGAGAGAGAGAGAGAGACTTCACTGGGTCTTCGGTATCGTTGATCTCGTCGTTCGTTGATGATGCCGCGACCTTCGCGCGATACCTACGGTGATCAGAAACCACCCTACTCCTACATATCGCTAACGGCGATGGCGATATGGTCGTCGAGGGACAAGATGCTGCCACTCGCCGAGATTTACAAGTTCATCGCCGACCGCTTCCCGTACTACAGGAAGGACACGCGACGATGGCAAAACTCTTTGAGGCACAACTTGTCTTTCAACGATTGCTTCATCAAGGTTAGTCCATCCCATGTCCGATCATTGAGATTTCGATCGATGTCCGATCGGAGATGAAACTTCAAGACTTTTGTCAAGTCTTGATCGACTGAACAACGTGCTGTCGCAAGTTGCCGTTAAACAATTCTATTCATCCTTCTTTCTAGAACCTTGTTTTGAATTAAATTAAATTTACCAATTTACGTGAAAGATAACTTCTCCCTAGACAGATATCAGCGATGCCGACGTCTCATTGTCTCACTTTTTGTCATATTGTCTATTTAATGAATCACTTGCAAAGTAATATCGCGAAATCGCGGTTGTGTCGAATGAACCGTGATGGAATGGATTTTTGATTGACGTAATGTGCGCCTTTTCAACGTGAACGTCCGGAACTCGAGAGAGCGACAACGCAACGCGCAAGGTGTTTGGTTGTTGTATTATCGAACCATCTGTTTCGCACCTGCCAACGTGTGCGACCACCGCGCGATCACCGTCATGGCGCGTTCCGTTCTCTCGCGGTTCCTCGAAATTACGAAAGAACGTCGGTCCCCTTTCGTTTCTTGCCTCTTAGTCGTCACAGTAGAATCACTTTCAACTTTACACCCCGCCCGTGTTACAGGGGTGAAACAAACGCTTGACCACAATCGCGATGATAGGTATGAAAATATTTTATACTCTGTCACGCATCAGGGAATATTTTGATGTGAATGACGAGTTTACATAAAATGTGCAGTTCGAAATCTTTAAAGGGTTCCAAGTTTAAGTCCGTATTATTTTTCCAAACTTTCTCTGATGTCAGATTATACATATGGAGATCCCATGTCTAGATTATATAGAGATTGAGACTGAGAATTTGATCGATCTCAAAATAAAGTTCATCAAAGTTAATATTGGATTTTTCTTTTTTCTGATTGATTTAAATTTAATCTCAAATCCCAATCTCTAATCTGATACGGGTATTACACTTACAGTTTTACGACTGCTGAGAAAAATGTTTAAATACCAAGAATGATGCAAGATAACTAATCGTACGATAATCAGTAATATTTCAAACGTTTATATACTTGTTAACATAATATACAATAATACGTATGTAATAATAATAGTACACAATAATACGTAAGTTAAAACTTTGATTCATATATGTATTTCTTGCGTATATCGATGATTCAAGTATGTTTTCACTATAATATTACGATGTTATAATAAACTAATGTAACATAAATTACTACAATCAATCTTGATTCTAATTTATTGTATAATACAATCGATTGTTAAGAATTCAATGCTTGATGCACACAATATGAAAAAACTAGACTTAAAATTTAAACTCCTTAGATTCTATTGTATTCACAATCAGTAGATGTAATTTTTAACTTTTAATTTTGTAATTATTATATAATTGTTTCATAATAATAGCTTTAGAATTCATTAAAAATGCACTATTATATATCAAACATGTGGAAAAATATAAATACTATACCTACAGGGTGTTCCGAAAGTTTTTGCCAATCGCTTTTGTAAATAGAATGGACTAAACTGAGTCGAAAATCCTCTATCATTTTGCAATTTTCGCAATAGTTAACAAGATATTAATTACTAAAAATTGCCAAATATTAGTCTTGAATAATTTCTTACTCAAATACTATCAACTTTACAGAAAGACTGCAAGAGACAAAAATCATTTATTTTCTTCTCATAGAACTAAGAATTTTTTCAGAATTTTTTATCAACTTTTGAAGTACTACATTTTCTTATTTTTATCTCAACAAGAGACAATATGGTATTAAAAAAATTCTGAAATAATTCTGAAAAAATTCTCAGAACTTTATGAGTTACAACTTTTTATGAGTAACAAACAAAAATTATCACCTTTTTCAAATACTCACACACATAAGAGTCAATTTTAAAATTAAAAAGGGGACGCGGGAAGTTCAATAGAATATTTGGATTCATTCAGATTGGCAAATTTTATCCTTATGAGCCCTTGTTTTATAACGAATAATAATTACCGTCGCTAGAAAGCGTGAAACTATGAGCGGAAACGATGGAAAGCAATAATGTCTCTGCGAGAAATTTTCGAGAAATTTTACGCTGGAAGAAGCAATTGATCATGAATTAATTAAAATCGATATTATTGACGTATTAAATAGATTATAATAGTTGACACAGAAAATTCACTTGCTTATTTTTTTACAGATTCTTTAATCAATTTTTATGACGTTACAAAAATAATCGTTTGGATTTATACGAATATTCTTTTGTATAAAGTGATAATAAAATTACATTTTTTTTACGTCATGTTAAATGAATTTTATTCAGAATATACTTTATTCAGGATATATAGACTTTACCAGGATTAGAATAAAATATAAATATGGACATTTTAAAAGTTGTAAAAAGATGTCCAGTTTTCTCGATGTGAAAAAAACATTTGTTAATAATTAGTCAAATAATTTATAGATAAAAGAAAGAATTTTCGTATCAACAGCAGATAAAATTTAAGCTTGATTAAAATGAAGAAATTGTATTCAGATAAATGTATGTCAGATTGTATCAAGACAAATGTATAAATTTTGAATCTCTGTTCTATCTGCATTCCTTGATTTTTAAACAGCAGATTTTTAATGTCCTTTTTAAACTAGTTATATTTCAATAAAAATCTACTAAGTATTGTATTTTACAGGATACATACTCGTTATCACGATGACATTACATTATATCGAGTAATAATTTTTTTAGCTATTACATCTATTTTTTTCTCTCTCTATAAAGTTTAGAGATTCTAAATAATCTAGAAATAATAAATGTATTCGTACCTTGTACTCTGGATAGAAAAATTTCAATAATTTAAAAGGTTTAACGATTTAAATCCTACAGTATACATATGTACGAGTATACGACAGCGCTTTTTCGGTATCATATCATAGAAAGCAGACAAAAATGTCACTTTTGATAAATAAAAGAAGAAATTCTTTGTTATGCACGGTATATGAATTTTTCAAACTTGCTCGAGAATTCGAACGTAATTCTTTCTCTCCCCCGCAAATATAATTTAAAATTCCAGATTGCCGGTAACGATGAAAAGAAACGACGCAAAAGACGTGAATTAACGTATGCAGCTCGACTGATCTCGTCTACCTCTCGTCGAGGCGTGGTACTAATAATAGCGGTGGTAATATATTTCCCTCCGCGAGATCTGTCCGGCAGCGGGTTATGCCTTTCCGATCGAATTAACTCAACCGATCGGCAGATAATCGTTTCGCGTTATTAAATGTAAAACCTGTTCGTTCCTGGCAAGTAATGGCTCTCCTGGCTCTCTACAGCTCATCAATTGCCGCTAAGACCGCGTCTTATATCGGCCATCGTCGAGGAGACGCTAGGCGAGGTGGATGGTGCTTTCCACGCGATCCGCCAAGAGGGGAAAAACAGGGACTACTCACTTCAGTGTGCAATGCGAGCGGTTGTGCTTTACGAGAATCGCGCGCGTAATTGCCTCGGACATCGTTGCCAGCATCTTCTGTCTCGATCGCTCATCGAGATATCAATTAAGGCGCAACTCCACAAATGCGTATTCATCAAAGCGTGGATTCCAAAGTAGCGCAGACCCAGTTTCAGACCGATTACACCGAGTTTTCCAATCGACGCGACTGAACTTTCCGTTCCTATACAACTTTCGCCAATTCTATAAGGATATAAGGAAATACACCACGTCTTCCGCATCGTGTCCGATACTCGTTTGTCATGGTCGTTAAGAATAAAGTTTTTTTGTTTATTTGTCCAATGTTTAATTTAATATTACATATTATAGGCTTAGCTTTCCTTTTTTATATTAGACTTATATTTCATTTTTCACTTGACAAACTGCAGCTGTCCAACTTGTGACTGCAATTCGATTAGGCACAATTTTAAGTTACGATGCACGAGAGGGAGAGTATGTGTCTTCTTATATACAGATGCAATATGTGTATAAAATTTCTATGTATAAAATTTTTATTTATTTAAAAAGAAAATATTTGTGAAACTTGATAGGCCAAAGGTGAATCCAATGCAGCGTCAATTTCGTTCGTTTCTCGTTGGAAATATAGAATGGAAAGTTTGTCAAAGCTAAACTGAAACTTAAAATAGACATCGAATCGATGCGATATCCACGTGATCTGTTCTCTGTCAACTGATACATACGTATTGTCTATCATCGTTCAATAGAATCGAGTTGCAGTTTGAATTTCTTGCAAAGTTTCTAATATAAATTTTTTAATATAACACTTCTGTTTGAAAAATTCGCAATTATATTAATTCATTCAATGAAATCGATTTCTCTCTTTCTCTTTTTCGCTCTGTTTCTTTCTTGCAAAAGTGTCTTTGACATGATTTAAAATTACAACTTTGTAAAAATAAATCGCGATATCGACTATATGTTATTAACTATTTATTTCAAAATATCTTTGACATTGCATAAAAATAGGAGGATTATTTGTACAGTAGTTATTTCTAGAAAATAGAATTGCTGAAGGTGAGGATTAGGGGCGCACGATCAAGGAATAGAAAAACAGAGAGACTAGGAAGAGAAACAAAGAATAAGGATTTCAACCAATCAGAAACGATGCACTATGGAACACACAGTTTCCGGCGGGTTGAAATTCTCTGTTCCCGTTCCTGTTCCTATTTTCTATTCCTATTACTTTCGAAAAAGATTGGTAACCTTTCACTGCGCGACGTTACAATTTGTGTCTCCATAGATCGAGTACCTATATTACACGGTGATTCGGTGCAAGTTGATAAGTCGGATGACTGAATTTCAGGTACCACGCGGTCCACATCGGCCAGGAAAGGGAGCCTACTGGGCCTTGCATCCCGCCGCATTGTCCATGTTCGAGAACGGTTCGCTCCTCCGCCGACGGAAGCGCTTCAAATTGCACAAGCCGGACAAGGAGCTGCTCAAGTCCGAGCTGCAGGCGCTCGCCTCGGCGATG